CAGTGTATTATTTGTTGAAACTGTACTTCCGATTTGATTTGAAACTGTCTCATTGCTGTTTATCAATAAAACTTTGGGAAAAAAAAAAAAAAAGAAAGATGAGCTACTGGACATTGAATGTGACATTACTAAAATCTAACCTAATCCCTCTTCCAAGCTCTATCAGCTTTCTCACACCCTATTACAGATCTATATCCTCGGCCACTCTGTAAAATTGCTCTTGCTTAGGATTTAACAAAACTTTTAATCAATGTAATTTATATTTTTACCCCAGTACAGGGGACTGAACACAGGACTTTCACACTGAGTTACACCCTCAGCCCTTTTTATTCTGAGACTCAAACTTTCAATCTTCCCACCTAGACCTCCCCAAGTGCTGGGATTTTAGGCCTTCACCATTATGTCCTGCTTTTTGTTGTTTTTGGGTTTTGTGGGGGTGTTTTAGGTGGTTTAGTTTCCTGAGGCAGGGTCTCATGTATCCCAGTATGACCTTGAAACGTGCATGGATCCTCTTGCTTTAGCCTGCCAAGCTACACGTGGATCGCCAACATGCCCAGCTTTGTTTCTCACTGAACCCTTCCTTCTTGATGTTTATAATATCAAGGTCTTTTTTAAACTTATTTACTTATCTATTCCTGTCTCAGCCTCCCCAGTGCTGGAATATAGGTGTGTACCACCACACCTGGTCTCAGTGGTCGCAACAGCATATGGTATCCTGGATCAAACCTGGGTCCTTGTTCTTGCCAGGCAACCACTTAGACTGCTGAACTATCTCCCCAGTCTCTTTCTGGCTTCAAGTATTTCTTCCGTTTTTTATGTTCCATTCTCAGGCCATTCCACATATAATTTATTAAGCTAATAACACAGGTAAATGTCATCTCTTTGTTTTAAATCTCATCTACAGGATACCATCTTTTTTTTTTTTTTTTTTTTTTGTGGTACCAGGTTTTGAACTCAGGACCTTGTGCTTGCCTGGCAAGTGCTTATTCTACTGAGCTATCTCCCTGGCCCCAGGATACCATCTTCCAATGTGTATTTCTACTTACAAGCTGCATTTCTATTTTGTTCTAGGCTGTCACCCAAGTGAAGCGCTGCACATCCTTTCCTCTCTTTCCACTCGGAAGCTTTCAGATTATCAACAGAGTAATATTTAAGGCTCTCAACAGCATTTGGAGAATGTCACTTAATTGTACCCTTGAAAATGGTTACAGCATAACTGTTATGCTACGTTTCTACAATTTAAAGAAAAAGAAAAACCAGCTTTTCATCTAAACTCATAATTTGAAGGGCCTGATTGCTGGGTCTGATTCAAAATTAACACAGAGGTTAACTTTCTCTGTAAAACTTTTATGACCTTTCCATGGTAAAAGCAACCACTCTTCTAAACACCTCTAATACTTTGTTCAAATGCCTACCTTCTTAGACAAGACTGCACGCTTTCCCAAAATAGGGCTGGCTGTATTTTATTTGTGTCTGCATTTCTAGTGTCTCACCCAGATGTTTAATGTTTGCTGAATGACAACACAAATGAATGATTGTACTTATGCAATCTTCTTCAACTAATGCAATATTTTAAATCAAAGTTTTACAAGGATGGGCCTGAGACAGTCAGTTAAATACAAAGTAAAGAGCACACAGCTAAATTAAGAGTGAATTCAAGGCTAAGAACTAGCTGAGCTTAGAAGTGTGAAAGTAAACACAAGGATAAAAGTTAAGGTAAGAGAAAAGATAAGGATCTTCCTTCCAAGAAGACACACTTAGTTAATTGCCAGTTCCTCCCTCTCCCTAACCTCCTAGCTGGATTTCGAAAAACTCAGAAATCCAGAGTAACCAGTTTCCTTTCCTTTGAACTTGGTTTTCTAGCTAAGTTGTTTTTTTTTTTTTTAAAGACCCTAAACCCACAAAGCCACTTGTTTAAAACAACTCTGCCTTTGTGTACAAGGCCAAAACAAGGAGAACACATTGGCAATTCCACTTCCAGAATCCCCTCACAGGGTCCTTCCAGCAGAAGCTTTAAATTTTTTTTGTTTTAGGAGCTTTAATCTTATTTCCAAATAAACACTCTCCTAACTTCCTCCTTCTGTCTGTGATTGTCTTCGATGCAGGGAGACAAAACACTCATGTTTGTATGCTAGAACAGTTTAAAGTCAGATGGGACTTTTAAAGATTATGTAGTCAAATTGTTTATAAACAAAGGGAGGGCTTGACAAATTAAGAAACTTGTTTGAATTAGAATTTAACGGTAATACTTGAAATACAACCCTAAAATGTAACCTCATCTCTGGTTACATTTTGTTTCAGCACAAACTAGTATTTCAGCCACTAGTCACTTAGGAACATAGCATGAAAGACAAATAAATAAACAAACAAATAAATAAATCAGGATGCAAATCCTTTTCCTGGTATTTATGTGGTTTCTGCATATTTTTAACTATGCCTACTTCTCAAGCTGCATATTCATAAATGGAGTAACATCTTTCTCCTAATGAAGGCTGGCTACTTCTTCAACCTATTACATAAGGTTCTTTTTTTTTTTCCCAGCTTTAAAAAAAATTTTTATTCATTTTAATGAGAAAAAATAGCAATGAAACAGTTTCAAAACAGGTTAGTAGGACAATTACAATATTTAATACGATGCATATTGCTCTCTTCGTAGTAGTTATTCAGAGGACAAGATACAGAAACGATAGCTTGTCTAAACACTATTTGTACAAACCTTTCTTCTCATCCTCAATTCAGTTTTAACCACAGAATTCTCCTTAGTTATCTTCTCTTTGAACACCTGAAACCTTTAAAATTTAATTTTCTAATTACGTTGCTGTCTTTTGTGCTGGCTGGTGAAGGAATTAAAGGCTTTTTCACTGAGTGGCTAATGTGAAGTAACTTCTCTGCAAGGGGCCATTCCCTTTTTTTTTTTTCCCCCATACTTTTATTGAGCAATAAATAGTAATGAAACAGTTTCAAAACAAATTGGTAGGACAGTTCCAATAATTAACACATTGCATACTGCTTTCCTAGTGGTTGTTTGTTGTAAAAGATGCAGACATGATATCCTATTTAGAAACACTATTAGAACAAATCCTTCTATTCCTTGAATTAAAAGAATGTAGCTAGGGCTGGTGAGATGGCTCAGTGGTCTAAAGCACCTACTTGGAACAAACTTCACAAAGCACAGGGACCACGGTTCAATCCCCCAGCACCACATGCCAGCCAGCCCCGCCCCCTGGTGGGCTGAGCTGGCCACACACACACACACACACACACACACACAAATAAATATTTAAAAAAAAAAATTCTGGTAATTTCTAAATAAAAATGTAAAAAAAAAAAGAGAATGTAGCTATATATCTATCCTAACCACTTTGAATACACAGATACAAAAGAGACATTCATCTATATCCCCTTTTTTCATTTAGTTCCATCATTTAAATATTATAGGTATGTGAACTTAGTAAAATATTCCAAAATAGTCCAGTAGTCCATAATAGTATTGGGTCTTCAACTTGACTGGCAATGTCAGGAGTTGTTGACCTGAGTCCCCTACAGCTCAACATAACACCATGGCTTTACTTCTTATACTTCGTTTTTATACTTTTCTGCTGGATGGTTAAGACCAAGATAAAGCAAGACCTATGTAACAAGAATTGTAGGGCTGGTGAGATGGCTCAGTGGTCTAAAGCACCCACTTAGAACAAGCTAAGCAAAGCACAGGGACCACAGTTCAATCCCCCAGCACCACATGCCAGCCAGCCCCGCCCCCTGGTGGGCTGAGCTGGCCACACACACACACACACACACACACAAAATAAATAAATAAATAAATAAATAAAAAGAATTGTAGCTTTTGGATCTGATAAGGTCAGTGGAATCCCCTCAGGATTTATCCTGAGACCCTGTACCTCAGACTGTAGATCCTTTGTCAGTGTCAGCCATGTGGATGACTCACAGCCATTGCTTAACAAATTTGCTCTCTGTGTAAGCCTGAGAGAATGTTTTCTCTCCACATGACTCTCCTTAGGCACACTCTACATCATCGATCACTTTCCTCTTTGGCCCCATAATCTCCTTGATCAGAAAATTTGGGACACTACTGAGTTACATGATGTTACAGTACAGGTTCTCATATGTCCTGAGTCTTAATTGACCTTGGAAGGCTTACCTAAGGTTCTTGTAATCATGTGAGATTATGTCTGAACCTAGCATATCCTTGCACACAATTTACATTGCTAAGGTGTCAGATTCAAATCTCAGTTTCCACAGTGCTTGCCTCACATTCATAAGGCTGTGTGTTCAATCCTCAACACTAAGCAAACTGGATTTGAAGAGTTTTAACTTCATCCTTTCCTTGTATTACCCAGATAAAACCCCCTTTGTTTCACAACAAGTACCATCTTTAATAGTTCCTGTGCAATCTCACATCTCATTCTTCGATAGCTCTATGAAGGAGCAGCAAACAAAGTGTCTACTCCAAGTTCCTCTTCCTAAAGTACAAGACTTCTATAATTTCATGCCTCAAATATGCTACTCTTTATAAATATAAAAAAATGTAAATTATCATGAACCATTCTCCTGAGAAAATAGAAAATCTAAAAACATGGCAAAGGTGAAATTCCTCGCCTCCCACAATACAAGACTTTTAAATTCTTTTTTTTTTTTTTTTTTTTTTTAGTATTGTTGAGACAGGGTCTTGCTATACAGTTCAGGCTGGCCTTGAGGCCACTTTGTAATACAGACTGGTCTCGAACTGCAACGATCCTCCTGCCTCAGCCTCCCAAGTGCTGGGATCACAGGTAGGCACCACCATGCCCACTCAAGACCTTTAGATTCTAAGAGTCTAATATGATACATATGTTCAGTGCCTTTGAGTTTGTAAAATGCAAAACCACACATGAAAACATGTGTCAGGGCCAGTGAGATAGCTCAGAAGACTAAAGTGCCTGCTTAGGCAAGCTTAGGGAATGAGGTTCAATCCCCCACACCACATGCTGCACCAGCCCCACCCCAGGGCAGGCTGAGCCATCCACAAAAGACAGATAGATAGATCATGTGTCAAGCTCCACCTTCATTCACACTAAGGATATGAACCTATGTAAGATAGTTACCTATCTTTGAAGAACTCAAATTCAAGCAAAGTACTCTCAAAGTACTAACTAGTACAGGAGCTAATTCTACCTAGAAGCTGCAGGGAGGAGCCCTAAGGAAGACATTTCAGCAGGCTCTCTAGGACCTATCTGTTAAGGCTTTTATAAAATGTTGGTCTAGGGGCTGGGGAGTTGGCTCAATGGAATAAGCGCATCCCTGGCAAGCACAAGGGCCTGAGTTCAATCCCCGATTCCGCAAAAAAAAAAAAAAAAAGTTGGTCTATTGGTTAAAGCCATCTATATCATGTATACTAAGAATTACAAATATATAAGTTTATGGGACCGAGGTGATAGCTCACTGGCATAAGTGCAAGGTTATTTGGAGATACATAAACAACTATGAAATGCATCAAACACCCCCCCAAGAGAACTGATCAAAGCTGAGTGATTACCCGCAGTGTGCTTCCTCGGGGTAGTCCGAATGGAGTATTCGAAGTCAGGTATGGCTCTGCTACTTAGATGAAGGTGGTAATTTCTTGCTTCATCCAGTAAATCTCTACATTTTAGATTTTGCTTGACAATTTGTTCTTTTGCTACTACACCCATAAGAAAATCAACCGGCAATAATGGAAGACGGACCTAAGATCATGAACAGCAGGAATGTAAGATGTAAATAGTAACAGAGTAGTTTGCTCATCATTATTACAGCAGTATGTTATTTTAAAAAGTCATCTAGGACAGGGGTGTGACTTGGTGGTTGAGCATGCCTAGCATGTGCAAACTCTGGATTCCATGCCCAGCACTCACTACAGTAACAAAACAAAAATATTGTTATATGCACTTTAAAAATATCAGTCTAATTATCATCACACTTTAAATTGGGTTACTTCTCTACTGATAACTATAAGCAAGTCTTTTGAATTTTAAAAGTTTTATAATGTTATGGAGAAATTATTAAGATTTGGCATAATTATCAAGTTCCAAGTTTCAAAATTAAAAAAAGTAAGTAGGAATAATCATCTTTTAAATAGTATAATTTTCTCAAAATAAATCAAGTGAAGGGGAACGGGAAAGGGACAGAGAAAAGGGAAATAGAGGGAAAGAAAATAAAGGGAAAGACAAGACACAGACCCTACAGGGCCTATTTGTTAGCCCCCTGCCCAAGTAAACCACTAATAATTAAAATAATAAAAAATGTTTCTGGGGAGATGGCTCAGTAGAATAAGTGCTTCCCTGGCAAGCGCAAGGGCCTGAGTTCAATCCCCGGTTCAGCAAAAAAAAAAAAAAAAAAAAAAAAGTTTCTGATGTTAAACAAAGTCCAACTGATGAGGGAATGACAGTATCTCAGAAAGTGAAGCCTGATGTCTTATGGTTCTTTCCAGAGTAAGTATCTACTACAACTATATTTTTATGAACAAGATAATTCATTAAAATTTAGAAATTTCATTATAAAAGTTATAAATTATGTTACATTGGATTATTCTCTTAGAACCATTTTTATTGTTCATTTTCAACAATTAATGAACTTTGTATAATTTTTTTACATTAAGATTTTACTAAATTAATGAATATTCATTACTACAATCTCAAAGGAATATTCTAAATCTTCAGGTTAAAAATCATTCAGATGTCACAAATAGAGATCATCTCTCAGCAGTCTAGAAGTGAGGAGGGCAGTGAGCAACGCCATTTCCATCACCACACACACGAGGTTTTCTCTCTCCCATCACACGAGCAGCACCTTCCCTCATTCACAAACCATACTCCATTGCTCTTGGGCCCTTGCACATCCACACACCTCTCCCAGCAGTCCTACCTGTGCCAGGGTCTCGTCCAGCCACTTGGAATGATGCTGGGGGTTGGCAAGAAGCCACTTGATAGCGGCGCTGTAGACCTGCTTTTCACTCTCAATGTGCAGATCGCTGGAGGACAGTAGCTTGTGCAGGTGCTGGGGTGACACACTCACAAAGTCCTCACATTCCACAACCTCAGGGAAGTGTTCGCAGGCATACTGGTCGGCCATGTCCATGAGGTCTATCCGGTTGTGGCTTTCTGCGAAAGCCCGCACTGCTAGGCAGTTGGAAGGATGGAAATGCAGCTTCATGTACTCACAGCAAGCTCTGGCCACCAGTTCAACCTGAAGGATGCAGGCCGCATACAAGAGAGGCTGGACATTGTCCACAGTCAATGTCAGCCGTGAAGAGTAGACGAATTTCACCAGGTCCTCTATTGCATCGCCATCAAAATCTCTAATCTCAATTAGTGTTTGCTTGGCTTCTGCCATTTCAGAGAGAAACATGGCTCTGAAGTAGGGAATAACACAAGCCAGTGCCAGTTTGTGACAGGAGATGAGCTTTGAACCAACCTGTTCAAAACAAACCAAGAAATGTTTAATAATACAAAATCAGCTTCAGAACAGCACAGAGCTTGTACTGCAGAAGGGGAAAAACTCCAGATAATTTAGAGTGCTGTTTTAATTATGCAAAATCCTCTAGTCACCTACTTTGAATTTTGGCCCATTTCTTAAACTCAGGCCAGGCTGGGGAGATGGCTCAGTGGAATAAGTGCTTCCCTGGCAAGTGGAAGGGCCTGAGTTCAATCCCTGGTTCCGCCAAAAAAAAAAAAAAAAAAAAACCAAACCTTAAACTCAGGCCATTTTCTTCTTCCAATTAGCCACTTATCTATATCTATAATGCTTATACAGTGAACTATGATTTTTTCAATGTTATCTCATTTCTCAGGAACATTTTGTAAGTTAACAAAAACACATCATTTGGCATTTATTACATGCCAGACAGTTTTAGTGTTTTTCATATACTAACTCAATTAATCCAAAAACCCGTGAGAAGGTACTATGTGCTACTAGTCACAATTTACCAATCAGAAAATGGAAACAAAGTAAATAATATTTAAGTTGTATTTACTAAAAGCTCAGGTGAAGTTTTTTGTTTTTTGTTTTTTTTCTGCAAAGCTTTACTCGAGAGCGGCTCAGTCCTTCTTGGCAGCTGCCTTCCTCATGGCAGCCAGCATGTTGCTCAGCTCCTCACGCTTCCTCTTGGCACAGATGTGTGTCCCCACCCTTTTCTTGATGAATTTGAGGGCGCGCTTGTCCTTGGAGACCTTGAGCAGCTCCATGGTGCGCCGTTCATTGGGGGCAAAGCCGCACACCTCCCGGATCATGTCTCGCGCGAACTTGATGTGTTTGTGAGATGTCCACGACAACGGCTGTGCCTTGGTTTGCTCACATTCTTAGTCACCTTGTGGCCCTTGTTGAGGTCCATGGCCATGGGACAGCAGAGAGCCATGGCTACTGTTCTTTGATGGTTGCTGTGGCAGACGGCTCAGGTGAGGTTTTTTCAGTTTAAATTTTTCCAAGATCATATACTTCATATAAGAGCAGTAAAAATAAAACACTGAAATCTCAACACCTTACCTGTCAAATTATTACACTGTGTCTACTAGTGTGCCATACAAACAACACTTCTGGGTAACTCAATCTTATTGCACATTTTTTATTTCCCACAAACACCTATAAATAAAAATTTTGTCTCAAAGGATAGGTTCAATATGGCTACGAGGTGCCAAACTGTCCATTTCTGAACTAATTCCTGCATGTGTGCCATACTCTAGGTGTTAACACTTAAGAAACACTTGCCAATTTGACTAATAAAAAATATTATCTTGTTGCTTATCTTTCTTTTACTAACATTAAATCACTAATAATTTTGAGCTATTGCATTTTTATGTACTATGTATCATTTCTTAGTTTTTACCATACATACAGTGAAAAGCATTAGACATTTGTCATATATATATTTCAAGTTTTTTGTAGTTGTAAATATTCTCTTCCTATTGATTTCTATATAATCAAATCAGTCTTATTTATGATCTCTTCCTTAGATATCATGTCATTGTTTAAAATTGAAATCCTGGTGTTACATATTTATTTCATTTATACATTTATACTTCTACAACTTTTATGCCCCCCCATCTTTTCCTCATGGTGCTGAGGACTGACACCAAGTCTCCTGAGGGCAAGGCCTGTGGTCTACCACAGCTTCGACCCCAGACCCTTTTTATTTTTTTAAAATTATTTATCTATTTATTACATTTATTGTGTGTGTGTGTGTGTGTGTGTGTGTGGCCAGCTCAGCCCACCAGGGGGCGGGGCTGGCTGGCATGTGGTGCTGGGGGAT